AAAGGCTGCTTTCCATGCAGTCCTTCCACTTCAGCGTTTCAACATACAGAGCTTTTGATAGGAATGACAGGAATGGTAGAGCTTGTCTGGCATTCAAATCTCAAACTCTAAAACAAAGCATGGTGTGATCTTTTTTCCTTGTTTTTTTAAAGCCATTTGCATTTCATCTTCTTGGGAGATTACTGCTCTTTGAATGAAATTCACTTGGTGATAAATAGGCCTAGCTAATATGGTAGAGGGTAGCTGAAGGAACCAGGAGCAGTGCTGGCAGAGCAAGTCCCCCTTCCTCTAGCCCAGTACTTTTGTGCCCCTTCCCCTCCCAGCCTCCTCAGCAGAGTGCTGCTTTGTCAGCCCCTCTGTGCAATCTAGTATAATGGAAAAACCAAAATAATCATTCCTTCTGCAGTCATGCTTTTCCAACGGCATAACAGCTTTTACTTACATTATGAAAGAGCTGCTTCACCCTCTGGACTTAAATTATAGATTATCCTTTCCTTGAAGCAGCTATCTTACAGTTTAACCCTTTCATGGCTAACATTATTTTTCAGTCCTCTATTAGCAGCTGTGGATGAAGGATTTCCCTCTGTGGTATGTGCCCTGCATGGTGCTTAGGGTGGTAGCAGCACATTGCACACTGCTTTTCATCCATGTACACTTTGTACTTTTCCATTTTTACAGAGGCTTTGTAGATATATCTTGAAGTGCTTAAAATTAAAGTAAGCCCAAGCCACATTTTTTTTATTTATGATATATGTGTCAGTCTTACATTTGAGACAGCTGAATTTTACCAAACTGATCACAGGTTTGAACTGGGATCCCTCAGGTTTCTTCCTGGATGCTATCCCTGACTTCAGCACAGTCACTGTTCTCAAAGCAGCACATTTTGGGAGTGGTTTCTGTCTTATCCTCTGCAAAAAAACGTGGTAATCTCCATTATTGAAAACATGGGCTTGTTAAAATAAAGTCAGTCTAGGAAGAAACAGTCTTTCTTTGCATTTTCTTCCCATGTTACCTCTATGTATACATACATGGACACTGATATTTAAAATTTCCACCAATCCCTTTTGAAATATGAATTTCTTTGTTCACTATTTTTTACTCATTCAACCCTTTCTGAAACCAAGCAATAATTTTATTTGGCTGCACAGTCCCTAGAGAAAGTAGAAGAATTTATCTGCCAATATCCAAACCAGAAAACATTTGACTGACAGACTGTGAACTATAAAAATGAACAAATAAAACTTTATGAAAAGTTGCTTGTGGAACTGTAGTTTGAACACAGGTGATGAGCACATGAGCTTGGCACTGTAGGAAGAATCTGTAACATCCAACTTCTACCACTCAGCACTGGAGTGCATTAACTGTTTGTTTTGTTTTGTTACCTTTATGCAAAAGCAAAGTGGTTTTCCCAACTGAGAGACTTCTGTAGGAAGAGCACTTTTGGATCTCTTCAACAGCATCGTCCCATGGGTAGACATGGGTTAGGTTTTTTCTCCAGTCATTAGACTGGGATTAGACTTCGTAGGGCAGTAGTGGAGATGCTAGAAAAAGAAAATGCCCTGTAGGATGTTAATTGCTTGTAAAAAGAAATAAGATCATCCCAAAACAAAAAATTCCCTGTGGAAAGCAAAGTTACAGTTTCTCTAGTGGGGCCTGATGCAGGTGTGCTTTTCAGCTTGGAGCAGTGGACACACCATCCGCATAATTCCAGGCATTTATCTGGATCCAGACATGTGTTAAGCCCTGACTATGCAGCACCAGGAATGCAAGACTAAAGAACCACTTCACTGATGGACTCTTTCTCAGCCACTTTTCTGGTGACTGAGGCACACAAACCACCTGTGAGACAAGGGCAGCTTTACCCTCAGGATCATTCTCATCAGTTCACGACAACATCTGTGTGACAATTACATTAACCTGAACATTTTGGTCCTCAAAGGCATGTTGGTGGCCAACTTTCACGTCAGCATCTAACTTTGAGTACCCAAGGCACTGGTCTTTTAGGAAGGACAAAACACTCTGCAGAATGGACCTGTTCAAGGACAGTGTAAGGAAGGCAGAGTACTGCTGTGCTCTATATAAATTCACTCAGTT